TGACTAATATAGAAGCTTTATGAAAATATATAACTTCAGCCACTCATGAAGCATATGTATCACTTCCATCACTTATGGAATGTATTTTTGTGAATGGTGTAAGAATTTTCTGAAGAAGTGAGCGGGCTAGAAATTCTAAGTGTCACATCAGAGATGTGCTCGTCACTGAAGTATCAACACCTATAACTTTTTCTCTTTTCTGATTTAGCTCTGTTGTTACCTTCAGTTAGGATCACCTTGTATGGTTATTGGAACTGTTTTTTTCCAGTAGTAAATTTGAGGTCAAATATGGGCATTTGCACTAACTACAAGACTTACATATGTATCAATACTCAAATGAATGTATGTACTTTATGGCTGCAGTTATGTACTGACTAGAACTACATGCATATATATGCATCTTTCTGTAAAGTTACTCTCTAGTGTTTTATTTGCTTATTTGAGAATCTAAATGTTCATTGTAACAAATGGATGAAAGACTTCAATGAGTATCTCATCTAATTGATAGCACAAAAGCATGAGTCAGTGCAGTTAGTACTACCTCTTAAGAAGAAAAGTTTTTCCCTTGTTTAGCAGAGGAAGAATAAACTATCTCATATCGTGATGAATCGAAGTAGTCAAATGACCTATTTTCTGTCTTTCACAACTGCCACCAACAGCCTATAGACAGATACAGAGGTATTGTCTTACACAATACCAAGTACAGGTGAAACACTTTTAAGATCCTATTATACGAGAAAGCAAAACACTTAATTTTCAGCTATTTAATATTGCCTAAAGTTGTCTTCTGTTCAGACTAGATGGAGGCTTCAAATTGAACCTGACAGTAAAAAAGGATTTTGGTTTTATTAAACTCAGTTTTCTTGGTTATAATGTTGGGTTGCTTGAAAGGAATACTTTTCATCCTTACACCGGTATTGAGAAAGAATATCCAAGTTTACTGGTTTAAAGGTGATATGTTCTACAAGCCCAAACGAGTTTCAGAAGTGGAAGAATGTTTAGCTTGCAAAGATTTATTTTTTGTCTGATAAGATAAATCACAGCTAATAAAATTACTTTCTTGAGACGCTGCTTTTAACTTCCAAAGGGATTAGTTCTTTAGGCTAAGAGGCATTCCTATAACGCCACAGTATGGCACCCTTGAAACGTCATTAGCAACTGAATTCAACCTTCTCTAGAAAGAACTTATGTAACAAAGGTTTGTGCCTTAAATGAGATTTATGCCTTACGTTTTAAGAAACTTGCTAAGTCTGCCCAATCCTCTTCCCTTTTTCCCTCTACCCTTCCACACAAACACTTGCCCCCAGTAACTTTTTTTTCCCCACCAGTAACTTTAGGACTAAGCTATGTAGATGTAATCTAACTTCTGTTGGAAGATACTGCTGACATTATACCAGTAAGTCATTGATCACAAAAGTTGCCACAATAATGGACAAAGTTAACAAGTAAAATACACTGGATTTCTTTAAACCTGTTCCCTATGTTAAAGAAATTTAAATATAATCAAGTAGAGGAAGAATATGTTAACATTAGCTTAAGTTAGAAGTGAAGTTCGTCAGACAGAAGAGAAAACAGAGGGATGCCCAAACCGGAGTTAGCCTACAGAAAGAGAAGCTTAGTCAGGTCTGTGCTAATGTGTCCTTACCAGACTTCTCCAGTGGATAAGACACATAATCTGTTCTACGCAATTATACTCTACAAGAGCAATGCCAAGGAGGATCATATTGCATATGGCTGATAAAATATCAATACAGTTCTTCTAAAGTAATAATTTTTCTTACCTTCTTTCTCCCCAGTCTTCCTGAGGGAGGTACGGATTTTAACACCTCTCAATATCCGCTTACCTAAAACTCGTCAGTGTGTTAAAAGAAGAAAAACCGGGCATGTGGGAATGTGCTAAAATTACTTTAGCCATAACTAAATTTCTTTTGTACATCTGTTAAGCTAAGACATCACTTTAGTCAGGGCCCTGTTGATATTTTAATTACATTGTCACCATTTTTAGGAAATAAAATACTGGAAATAAAAAAAAAATACTTGAGTTTGGCTTTGACCAAATATTTCTTCAACCCCCTATCTGTTTTAATCACTTTTAAAAATTCTTTATGAATATGAAATGAATGTTTTCTATGTTAGTTCTGATTCTAAATTATTGTTATTTTGCCCTGGTCTCTCACTTCCCATGCTACTGGCTGGCCACAAGACCTTGCTTTCTCTGCTGTCACACAGGTCTTGCATTTAGACTTGTTTCTCTGTATTTTATTATATGGAACGCAGTGCATAGTTTTTTCCGTTACAATCTCCCAACCTTTGGACATACCAGTATCACTGCAGTCAGTGATGCATTCTCATTTAAGGCAGCATTGTGCCAGGTCAACAAGAGTCAAAGGGGAGGTGCCATATTAACTATAGAGTAAAATCAAGATTTTATTACCTTTTGGAAAAACTTTATGTTCAGGAAAAAAACACAGCAATGGAAATTGCTAGTATAGCTTCCTTCCTACCTACCTTTACATCTAAATACTAGTGAGCAAACTGTATGAAGCCTCCAAAAAGCAAAACTAGAAAGTATTGAGAAGTAACGAACATCAAAACTTACCTGGTATGCAATCTGCCGGAGTTGCCAGCACTGCAGCAGCCTGGTTCCAGAGACAGGCCGGAGTTTCAGCTGGCAGTCCCAGGCGGAGTGGTTCTGTCAACAGCGAGCACGACCTTTCTAAGTTTTATCCGAAAGCGTTTTAAGTTGCATCTGTTCGGCAGCAGCGGCACTGCAGTGCTCTGCTCTAAGTGGGAGACAGAGCTGGTCTCATGAAGTACCTCACGCTATAGGCCAACTCCCAAAGTACTGTCACCCTTTGTCGTTTTCTGATGCACTAAAAATCTTCTGGCGCACATCCAGCTAAGAGCTCGTAAAAGAAAAAAGTGGTTTTATATGTTTAGTCACCATTACCACACTGGTCAGCTACCGTGCGCGTACACCACCACATGCCGTTCCCTCTCCTGCCCTCTCAATTTCACTGGAATGCTGCCCGCTAGTACAACAGGCACCGGGCCCGTCATTGAATGACACCACCGAGACAGCTACCAGCGGCAGACGGTG